GTAATTGTGCTGCAGAGAAAATAGCTGCACTATTTAATAGCAGAGACATGTAAATACTTTGCATTACATTTTGAATCCACTACCTTAAAAGAGCTTCAATTTACAGACAGAAATGTCAAAAATGTTACAACTATCCCCGGTCTCCCCTACATTGTGTGAGATTGGAAACTTTTCTTCCTATTTTTTTTTATATTTGTGATATTTTATTATTATTATCATTATTATTTATTTATTTATGTTAATAAAACATTTAATATACGGCTGTTCGTTAAAGACTGTGAAGCAAGCTTTAGGCCTTTAACTATTAGAGTCCTGTCAACAGAAAGTTACGATACAGAAAGGGTGACGCGGCCGCATTACGTCATGGTCAGGTGATTGACGAGGAAGTAAACAACTCCGAAGACAGTAGACATCTCGACGGGGAAAGGTGAGGAGACGTTACACGTTACATTACAACCAGATTTCTTAACATTTGCAGCCTGGGTTTGCTTGTTAGGCAGTTTTGGCCACAGACGGGCTGACTAATGTTTGATTTTTGACATGAAGTTTGACGCTGTTTTTACGGCTGTGAAGCGCAGTTAGCCCGGATCTTACGGCCACTGCAGCATCAGCAGCATCCTGCTAGCTTTACAGGTGATGCTAGAAAACGGGTTCAGGTGGTTTAAACTTTCAGCGTGTATCCAGCTGTGTTGTAAAAGGTGAGATAGGAACAAAAACTTGGCCGTCCACATGACAGAGGATGTTACTTGGCTTTGCAGAAGTGTACACATTTTCCTGTTGTTGTTTTCTTGTTGTCCATTTTAATGAAACAAAAATGTAAGTAAATTGAGCCCAACTTCAAATAAAATAATAATGGGATGTGTAAAGCCATCGGATTGGGAACTAAATGTAAAATGGGGTTTTTCAGTAGGCTGTTTTAAATTTGTAAAAAAGTGTAAAAAAAAAAGAAAAGAAAAAGGCCAACGTTGCATTTTATAATTGTGAAATAATCTGTTACTTCTCTAGTTGTTTAAGTACTGATGGGTGGAAAAGGGTTGTCAAATTTAAAGATGAAACTGATCAAAACTGGTCTGATATTTGTTTGTTTATCCCGTGGTTTTGGATTTAAATACACTTTTTTTTTTCAAATTATGCTTTTTATTTTCTTAATCCATCTGTGACATCTTCAGGTCCAGCTGTCCAGATGACATCCCTTATCTGCACTTTACAACACCATCAAGACGATGTCAACTGGTGCGCCTTCTCGGCCAAGCTGTTAGCCACATGTTCTGGGGACAAAACCCTCAGGATATACGACGCCCGTGATTTCTCCGAGCTGCCTTTTTCGCCGCTGACAGGTCACGGCTACAGTGTCCACTGCTGCTGCTTCAGCAACTGTGGTCAGTTCCTCGCTTCGTGCTCCACAGATGCGACCACGGTGATCTGGTCAATGGTCTCGGGTGAGATCGAGGCTGTGCTGGAGCATCCTGGCCGTAGCCCTGTCAGGATCTGCGCTTTCTCTCCTGACTCTCTCCACTTGGTTTCTGGTGCATCTGATGGCACTTTGGCTCTTTGGGATTTTCCCTCCAGACAGCTGCGAAGGTAAAATTGTTAACCGAGTATCTCTGAAGCTAAATTATTTAAGGGGAAAACAAGGGAACTTTCCCTTGCTGGAGTTTCTTAAATGCTAGGAAGCCTCTATCTTGCAGTGTGACTCTAAATGTCACAAAAAAAACGTGACAAGCATTTTCACAATTTTCTGACTTTTGATAGCAAGATTACATGGAAGATTAGTTGAGAATTAAAATAATTGTTGTTTATTATAAGCTATTGTGTTATCGGCTGATGGTAAATTTAAAGATGTTCTTAACATTAAGACTTCTCAACATTATACAGGTCTGTAGTTTTTGTTATAATGACAAAAATGAGCTGGAACATAAATGTAAACAGGAGTCTGCACCAGTGTTTGCACTGGCCTCCTGTCACTATCAGTTTCCATGTGTTAATAAATGGGAATGATAATAACCCTGAAGTGAAAAATAAATTGCTCATGCAGCTGCTGTCGGTTGTTTTTGTGAAGGACCGGGGCAGTGAATGACACAACAATGGTAGCCTGCTCCTTTAGCCCCTGCAGTCAGATGTTTATGACTGGCTCCACATACGGAGACCTGCGTTTGTGGGACCTGCGCATGAACCAGCTCCACGCAGAGAAGAACGCCCACGACCTGGGCATCTCCTGCTGTACCTTCGCTCCGAACATCCTCAGCGGTGAGAACTGTTGCTGTGCATCAGGGTGTTTTACAGCAGCCTCTGGGAATAAAGGCCCTTACACATTGGACGCATACAATTCCTGCAGATATTTAGTATTTTTTCAAATCAAACTGGATTCTTCAGATTAAAATTTTTTTTTATGTGAGTAAAGAGACACCGATAATAGATGTGACACAACCATTTTATTGATCACAAATAAATAAATAAATAAATAAATCACTAAATAAAATGCAGATAACATTTTTTTTAGTGATCTCACACCATCCCTTGTAGAAGAGTCACCAGAAAGTACACAAGGTCAAATTACTGCAATGCTGTTTGATTAAAATGCCATTGTTGGTGTGATCCGTACACTGCTGCTCTGTTTGGACTTGGACTGATTGTTTATTAGTAATTTTCTTTGTGAGAGACTGAGACTCTCTTTGCATTTTATTGTTTTTGTCTTTCAGGCGGTCAAGTTGTGCAGTTTCGTGTGGCGTCTTGTGGACAGGACAGCCTGCTGAAGATATGGGCCATAAACAAGTTGAGCTCTGGAGGTAGAGTGCGGCGCTCCCTCTCCGTATATCTCCTCTCATTTGATCCCTTTCTGTTGTTATTTTTTACGACCTCTTTGCATATCAGCTAACATTGCAAACCTGGATTTGTCATCACGTCCTCTGTTCCTACATGCCAGACTCCACGGATGCTAAACAGCTGTCACAGTAATACCATTTAAGGCAGAATTTGACTATCATGTTGTCATGTGACCCGTTGAAGCCTGCACTGTGGTGAAACTGTAGCCTCTCAGTGTGCACTCGTTCAGAGTTTGATGTGTACGCATTTCCAGAGGCACAACGATTCAAATCACTGGTGCTGCAAGTCCAAACGAGCTACCAGTTTTTTTTATGCTGTTATTAAAATTAACTGCAGATGAACGGTTTGTACTTCACTCCCCCACCTTTCTTTCTTTTTACCTTAAAGAGACTCTTTATTTCTGGATGTTACCATCTAATCCTTAAACTGAAAACAGTCCAGCTTGCTGTGTATTTTGATCTTTGTGCAAATGTGATTTATCTTCCGCAGCGTATAAGATGAAGCTCCTGCACGCATTAAATGGCCAATCAGCTCCCGTCCTTTCCTGTGCGTACTCCTCAGATGGGCAGCTACTTGTGTCTGGGTGAGAGCTCAACTTTACTTTTCAAAGCATCTGCTGTCTAATTGTGTTTAATAATTAAATTAATAATACTTGCTCCTTCTTTACTTTGGGAAATTATTGCATATTAAACTAGGACTTATTTTATGATTTTGGAGTTGGCTTAATGCACCACTCTCTCAAAGTAATGAGAATAATTAAATCTGGTACACTGTGAGGGTAGCTGCCATATAAACTGTACTCAAATTGTATTTGATGGGCCAAAACATGCAGCACATTTACACGATTTCTAGCCAGCTTGATTCCCTCATAGTTTCAAGCTAAATCTATATTTGACACCCCTCGCTTGATCTGAAATACCTCAGCATCCGTGTCTTGATCTATTTGAGATCAAAAGTCTGCTTTGAAATATAGATTGTTTTCCTGGATGTGTAAGTAGGCCACCTCTGCACAAATATAACGGTGCAGTACTCAGGAGCAAACACTAGAGGGAGACATGGACTGCTCTATTTCTTAATGGGTGAACACGAATTTGAGTCCAGCCTACTGTGCTGCATTTAACAGTTAAGCAATACAAATGTTTTTTAGGTGGTTGTAATCTTTTTTTTTTTTAATCTCATATTTTTATGTCTTTCAGCTCTGTGGACAAAACAGTCACAATTTATGATGCTGTAAGCACTTCTCTTATTCTGATTTACCAAGCGGCATTAGCTTAAATTGTATTTTAAAATATATCTGTCTGGATTGAATACAGAAAGCTCATGTTTTGTTTTTTGCTCATATTGTCTGCAGGAGAATGCAGTTTTGCTTTACAGGCTGAAACAGCACGAAAGGTAAACATTGATTTTCACTGACGTGGTGAGGCTTTGTTTGCTGGATTTTCACACTGAGTATAAGCACGACTTTGTGTCACAAAGACGATACTGAAATTTTCTCCCAACTTGCCAGGCAGAATTCTTTTCTGTTTAGTTCGTGATTTGATTCTGTATTTCTGTATTCTTAAATTGATACGTCTGATGAAACTAGAAATTACAGCGTACAAAATTGGCCACAATATAAGATTTTGAATATTTAAAATAGCTAAAGTTAAAGCTAATGATAAAATAATTGAAGTTACTGTGATCATTTTTGCACTATTGGTTTTGTCTATATTACTTGCTGTGGTTTTATACAGACCTGAGCTCTTGTTTTTAATTTCTTCTTGCAGCAATTTGTAAATTTCTCCATAAACAGTGATGTAGTTGCTGCATGTAACGCTGATGTAACTGATGGAAATGACATAGGCACTTAGCCATGTTGCTTTTATATAGGAATAAAACCAGAATAGCCAAGTGGTTGTTTTTACAGAGAGACCTGTTGCAGATGAGTTGTGATCATGAGCACAGACTCATTTAGCCTGATTGCAACATGTTGGCAATCTGGTTGTTTTTATGAATTAAACTGGACTTATTCAAAAGTGTTTGGAGTCAGTCTGCGACCTGTGCAGTCGCTTCATGATCAAAAGTGGTCAGGCAGAAGTTAAGGGTGTTGGACACTCATTCTCTGGATGACCAGATGTTTGCCACAACTACTTGCAAACAGTCTCAGACGGTAAACAGTTGAGTGCAGTCACCAGGTAACCAACATTTCTAGTTGCATGGAGGTTTCAATCTTGTTTTTATCATCTTGTGTGGCTGAGCGATGAAAGAGGTCTATACGGTTTCTCCGTGGCAGTCAGTTATGTAGAGACAGCCAGATTCATAATAATATTTTCATGTAACCTTTAAATTATTACAAAATCTACATCTTTAACAGGCGTTTGGGCTCCAAGTCATCATTGTTGACAAGTATTCTGACTCTAATCTCTATTCAGAATATGTGACTGTTGGCCATCAGTAGATAACGCACATCAAAAACTATTGACTTCTTTTCTTTTTTTTCTCACTAAAACAGGGTTAGGCGTAGCTAGGGTTCTGCAAGAATATTCTACTGGAAATAGTAGGTACTGGATCTAAATCTCTTGCAGTATGTTTTTGCCCCCTAACTGGTGCACAACCAGTAGGGGTGTAACGATACACAAAATTCACGGTTCGGTTCGGTTCGATACTTTGGTGTCACGGTTCGATATTTTTTCGATACAAAAAAAATGTTCATGCCTTTTTAATTTGTCATTTATTAAGATTATAAATATATATTTTAACTCAAAAGTACAGTTTTTAAATTTAATGTTGCTGAAACAAAAGTAATTAAAAAAATAAATATATCTCAGGGCAAAATTTCAAAATCCCTGGTAGCCCATCGGGCAGGGACTCTTCAGTTTTTGGTAGCCCAAAATAAAT